CCCAACAGTCGGATGATTCAATGAAGAAGAAAAAAGCTTCCAAACACTGTTGTGGCAAAATGACGAGAAGAGACGGCCAATTGAAGTTGCAACCCAGCAGGAAGTGTTTTAATAAGCACATGCCAACATACGAGTTCAGCAAATCCAAACCAATCCGATGTATTACTTTTCACAGATTACTTTTATAGTCAAAATTCACCCCCTTTAAGTCAGTTTCCACCAATCAAACCAGTGGGTTGAACCACAAACAGAGCACCTCTGGTCTCTTCACTATGTCATGCTCTCACAACTCTGTTTGGATCAAGATAACCTTTTGGCAGAACACAACCTTCTCGCAGAACACACGATTGGTGTTCGGGAAATGTTTGGACACACATTGGAGTGACATGTTACAATTTGTCTGGCATGCCTTAATCTCTTCCTAAGAATGTTTTTATGAACCAAATGTGTTCAGTTTAATCCTAAATTATATGATGATTTTCTTCAACATATCCCCCCTTTGGGGGTCACTTGACCCCCACCATAACTTCATATAACTTTTGTCAAATAGGTGGAACTGTAACCTAAAGTTTTGATCCCTCACAGCATTGCAACAACACAAGTGATTATGTCAATTATACTGTATGTGCTTGATTATATACCAATACAGAACATTTGAGTTAGTAAGATAATTCAAATAACATCACTCAATACTAAGGTTCACTTTCATTTAAGGGCGGAAAAACCCGCAGGTTGCATTACAGGAAAAACTATAGGGGGGATATTTCTGTGTAGGCACACCTAGCATAAGTCTTGTGAGCTAAAACATAGCCTGAAAAATCTGCTTGCTTAGTCGCAGCATCAGCTGCAGCATTTCCTGTTGAAATGGGATCAGAAGCGTTAGTGTGAGCATCACATTTCATAACACAGACATTTTTAAGCAGCAATATGGCTTCTAGCAAGTCGGCCACGAGACGGTGGTGAGAAATGGGCTTGCCGGATGATTTCCAAAAGCTTCTGTGTTTCCACAAGGTGCCAAAGTCGTGCACTACACCAAATGCGTAGCGAGAGTCTGTGTGTAGATGTTAACTATTTTGTCGGCAGCAAGCTTACAGGCTTCCTTCCGTAAGAGCCACAGGTTCTGCAGCTTGAGCAGAAAAGTGTGCTGGCAACTTACTGCTGCACAGAGTGTCATATGATGAGACTACAGCAAACAAAACCAACCATTCTCCCGTGTCCGGCAAGTGGGATGCCAAACCGTCCACTAACGGTTGTAAATCAGCATTCGGTGGGCATGTCTGTGAGGTCAGGTCTCGGTGTGCAGACCTGTTCATGAGAAACAACAGTTATGTGGCTCTCCATCTGCTGGAGTAGGAAAAAGAGTAGCAGGATTAAAATCTTTGATATTAAAGGCATCAGTCGAGCAGTCAGTCCAGGTCAGTTTGTCATGCGCATAAAGATCTTTACCATGAATCATGGATAGAGGGATGCCTCTGTTTCTGAGTTTTTTGGTTTTAGGCACAGTTTGAATTGCCTGTATTGTCTTGGGAGGGAGGGTTTTGCCCTCTGCTGTGATCACGTCCCAGATATGAAACTTTATCCAGAGCAAATTGCAATTTGGACAGGCTAGCCTTGTGACCATTTGCAGCCAAAGTTTGAGGTGCTCGTGGGTGCACCGACACATTAACTGCTTGTAAATGTCAGACAATCATCACTCAGTTGGTTCCCTCAAGTCTCGAATTTTCTTTACTGGAAAAATTTGGCGCGTGCACCGGTGAATCATCACATTATATTATTATACCAACCTTCAATAAAGACTCAAGAACAGGTGTAATATCATTGATATCTCGATTGAGTGGATATTGCTTCTTGCATGAGTGGAAATCAGATTTTGAAATTGGGCAGATCACGATTTTGGGTGAACACTAGCACCCCTCACCTGTCTTACGTCACACATTTGAAACCATGGTGTGTGTTTTCTTATCAAACATAAGTTGAGTTACTCCTTTCACTGTTGACATTGATGTACCTCTCGTTTTGTATACGTCACCCTTATCTCTGTAGCGTTTACCAGGATCCTCTGTGTTTCTGAGGTCAGTGAGTATGGGTCTGACTGTGCAGCCAGTCAGACATCCTCTCCATTCATAGGCCTCATGCCAAGGACACACATGTGTGATCTTCCCCTTAAACAACTCCTATTGCTTGGGAGACAGAGAAACAGACAGCAGCAGCATTCCCTGTCCAACAAATGTAAATAATACAATAAATATAACTTCTCCACTTCTCCAAACAACACCTCCTCAATCCCTCATCTAATCCACGTAATCAGCCTGCCTGTGACATTCTGAACATTTTTACCTTTAATAGTGTTTGTCTTGTGGTAACTTTCTTAAACCTTAATTTGCGTACATCTGGTATGTGTTTGTCTAGTTTGTCATAGTCTATACTGCACTAAATAGTCAGAATCTAAAGTTAACTCACCCTCTGTGTTGTAATGTGTGTGCGTCGGTGGTTCCCTCTCTGGGGTCCACTTGACCATGTCAAGACCTGGCTCTGACAGCCATGACCTAGTCAGGGAGACGCAGATAGTTTACCAAAAGCAAAGAGTTTTATTCGACATAAACAAGATGTCCAACGACAAATGGTGGCTGGAACGAGCCGTCCTCGTTCCTCCTCGGTGTGTTAGGAGAGCGCTCTGGTTGCCAGGAAGGCGGAGCCTCCACTTAGGGTGATCACCACCTCTGGTACCTGCTGGCTTAAAGGAACATACAAGTAACCAAGATAGGACAAAAACAAACCAAAACAAAGTTCGGCAGTATATTTTCCCTTTTTATCAATTTTATCTGTCTTATTGTTCCCTGTTTTCTTATTTGTGTCCAAGTTTTGAGTTGATAACATTTTTGTAGGCTAAAACTGCCTTTTTCAGGGAACCCATTTTATCCATTCTTTCAATTGTTTGGTAGTCTGATTATCTTTGTCTCACATATATTTTAATATTGGAGGTAAGACCTTGGCATCAAGCTGCTCAGGCTCAGACTCACTTTGACTTTTACCCATTTTCTCCAATTTGTCGTTTACAGTATCTTCAAAACACTCGTGTCAAGACTTAGTTCAACTTGAATTGATACACCAAATCTTCTATAAATACTGCATGTTAACCAGGACACATCTGTCCGGCTATTGTGCTGTTGATTCTGATAAATAAATGGATAGCTTTTATTATGTTGTATTGTCTTTTTAACCTTTTCAGTACTTCCCCCCTCGCACAGTGATCTTCACTGTGCGATTCTGAGATGGTCAGCAATGCACCAAGTGCAACCAACAATCCTTCCTGTGACCTCCACAACCCCTTTCCATCAACACTCTTCCTCTGATTATTTAGGAAGTATGTATGATCAATGTCTGTATGTATGACAACTCTACTCCTCTCTGTACGGAGAGAGCGAGCACACACATCTGGGTGACCTGCCACCACCAAGTATACACGGAGCTTGAACTTTTCTTTTTTTTTTTTTTTTTCTGCAGACAGAATAGGATCTGGACACAATATAGCTCGGGATATATGCAGATGGATTGAAACAAACTCTATATATATATTCTTTTTTTTTCACTTTGAACACATTAATCAAGCCAATCAAAATACATTTACTACATTTTTGGCTCCCAGTGATACAGAAGTAAAGTTAATGAACGAAAAACGGCAGTTCACCTCTACCATCAATTACTATTTTTTAACAAAGAGGGGAAAAATAAAAAACTACTTTAAGCTTTACAATTATACAACCTCTACGACACTAGTGTTACTAACTTTATACACTCTAATTGACAAGTTGAACTATAAGGTTTGGAAGCTTTGAGCTTGTGTACTGCTGTAGAGTCTCTTTGTAACCAGAGCAACTCAATAAAATCACGATGAAACTTCTACCGTAACAACTTATTTGAGGCTTGGTTAAACTGCTTGTACTCAAGTCTTTGTTAAAGAGAGATTCTTATTGTTGGTCTGCTTGTGACAGTTACAAATGTCCTCTTTATTTCACCCTTATCAACTCAGGGTTTTTATAGGGAGTTATGTCTCTTCCCTTTATCAATCTCTCCTTTATAGTATTACTTTATCAGTAATGTCAGTAGGTTACAGTCGTGTGCACACTTTCAAACTGTATTCAGTCATTCTATTGTCTATTAGTTAGATATTACTTTTCCTGCTCATTAGATTTCCGCACAAACCTTCTGAGTCTCTTGTCAGCGTAGCTTCCTGCCTAAGACAGAAACCACTCTCAACAGATTCCCTATATTCTAGTTTAGTTATATATAAATCTAAGCCAGTCCTTTTGTACTTCTCTCGAGCTCAGAGAAGGCCTCCTGAGAGGGTTTGTTTTAGGACCTGCGTATCATACTCCCAATGGAGTTCTTTATCCTTTTTTGCAGTAATAGCTTTATCATCAGCGCACAATCGCTTATCATCTGCGCACAACAGTCGCTTATCATCAGCGCACAACA